TCGGGGGCTGAGCCAGGAGCTTGTGCACCCCAGACCCTGTGCTTTCCCGGGGAGCATCTCCTGGACGCGGTACCGGGTCCCACGGGGGTGGGGGTCGATCCCCGGTCGCGCTGTGGAGGCAAAGCCCGGCCCGGCCCGGCGGGAAAGCTCCTCCGGAGGGACGGGGCGGGGGGAAACCTGCCAGGGTCCCGGCCACGGATAAAACGGCTGAGGGAGTGGGAAAGGGACGGAGGGCCCCCCTTGGAGCTGATCTCTCTCTCTCGGCGCTGGTGGCACAGAGCAAGGATCCCCCAGGTCCTTCCCCAGCCGGGGACGAGCCGGTTCCCCCCGGACGGTGCCACTTCCCAAATACAGCGCCCAGCGTTCACAGCTGGAGAGGGCGCAGAGCTGCTGGGCCTGGGCTGATTTTCCCCCTCGGGTCACCCTTTAAATGGTCAACACAGGGTTCCTGGGTCCATTTCGGTGTTGCCTTTTCCTTCCCTTCCTCTCCCCTCCCGGCAGAGATGCCAGCATCTCCCCATCCGGGCCGGTTTCTGGGGAACAAAGGCTGGGGACCTGGGGGACAGCCCCTCGCCCCCGCGAGCTGCTCTCGCTGCTCCTAATGAGGATTCATTTCTTTAGCCTACAGTCCTGGCTTTCATTATGGAGCCTGTCTCGCTCGGTTCATGGTCATTAGGCTGCAGCCCAGTAACTCCCTCGCCAGATCATGTGCATCCTTTCAAAAAAAAAAAAAAAAAAAAAAAAAAAAAAAAAAAAAAAAAAAAAAAAAAAAAAAAAAAAAAAAAAAAAAAAAAAAAAAAAAAAAAAAAAAAAAAAAAAAAAAAAAAAAAAAAAAAAAAAAAAAAAAAAAAAAAAAAAAAAAAAAAAAAAAAAAAAAAAAGAAAAAAAAAGAAAAAGAAAAAAAAAAGAAAAATAAAGACCTGCAGTAATATTAGCAATCATCATCATCATCACCTGGCCGGTCTGAATTAGCTACCTACTCCCGCAGGCTTTCCACCCCTTCCACCTCTCTCAAAGCAGAGGTTTTTCTCCATCAGCCCCTGTCCCGGGATGCTTTCGGGGGCTGCTGGCGGAGAGGGCAGGGATGGGGTGGAAGGGGACTCTCCCTCAGCAATATTTATATATTATATTTTCCTCTTCTTTGTTTGTTTGTTTGTTTGTTTTTTCTTTCCCAAATAATGAATGGACCTGGGTCAGTAAAGTAAAGCCGAAGAGTCTCCCCTTTTATTTTTTAAGTTTCTGTGGAGTGTCTCCGAACTCGTGAGTTTTGTGAGTGCTTTTATGCCTCCCCAGCTCTGTCGGGTTTTATGAAAATGAGCAGTATTGAAAGCTTTTCCATCCCGCTAGCTGTGAGCCTCACATAAATGATGTAAATGGCTCGAAGGGTTTTTTTCAAGTGAACTGTGTAGATCTGTGAAAATAATATCAGGGTTTTCCGTCAGAATGAGCTTAGCACTGTACTGAGGCGTACCATAATCTGACCCGACACCTCCGACCATCTGCGCTATCTATCTGCCTTCTGATTTACCAAATCTTCACAAGCAAAAGACAAATTGTACTTGATACTAAAGAAAAGACGGCGAGCCCCAGTCCAGCTCCATTTCTGCGGAGAAATGATTGGAGAAAATGTAAATCTGCTTAATTTCGGTCTACGGGCAACTAGCAAAGGAGCTTTCTTGAAGAAGGGAAGACAGGAAAACAAAAAACAATAAGAAAAAAAAAACAAAGAAGAAAAGAGAAGGGGGAAAGAGACAAGAAGAAGATATCAAATTAAGAAGGCATTTCTTTGACAAGCGTTCTAGAAAAAACAATGCATTGCAGAGAGCAGAGGAGAGAACATATTGAGCTTAATTCAAAATATATGCTGCCTTTCCGAGCATGGTCCCTAACGTGCCCGGGAAGAAATTGCCACTGAGCAGCTATGTGTAGAATAAAGAGCGGCTTCTTGATTTTTTTACCCCCCCTTCTCTCCAGAAAACAAAGCGTGTCCTCACAGCTCCGAAAGTGATTCCGTTCCTGCCCCAGACGGCTGGGAGGTTGTCCCGCTCCTCCGAAGGGGCGGCCGGGCGCCCACCTCGCCGCCAGCCCCGCGGTCGCTCGCTCGGGGCGCGGGGAGGAAAAACCCGCCGGG